GGACTTTTTCTTTTTTTTTTTTTTTTTTTTTTTTTTTTGAAATTTACAAAATGCAAAATTGAAATTCTGGGCATAACAGTATCCGCAATGAACAGTAACTTTTTTTTTTTTTTTTTAAATAAAACTAGGAAAGAAAACTGCTATCTTCCAACAAATCCTTTTTGTTTCTGCTGTTCAACAAGTTTTGGGAAAAGGGAAAGAAGAAAATTTTGAATTGTAAGAGAAAAATACCCGACATTTAGCTCTGATACCAAATTTTATGCAGGACGAATTAAAAAATAGAAAGAAGAAGCAAGAAAGAGAATAAGAAAGAAAGAAGAAGGAACGGGGAGGAGAAACAGAGAGAATGGAGAAGAGGAGAAGAAACCAGGGGAAGAGAGGGGAGGGAGAAAACGGCTGCAAGCCACCAAAAATATTTCAATTCTAATTCATCATCAACTGTCTCAAATGAGAAACAAAACAGAAATAAATAGCAGAACACAAACCCTAAAGAGAAGGGCTTGGGCCAAATCCACTAAGCAAGCCCAATAGCGAAAACATAAACAATAGTCCAAATAAAATATAACTAATAGTCCAAATAGAAAATAAATAATAAATGGATGTCCGCATCAGAATGGGTAGAGGCTGGGCTGCAGAGGGTTTACAGGGGAAAGGGCTCCATTGGGGGACTACTGCAGGGAGGGTTGCAAAGGTGAGGAAGTAGATTGGAGAGCTGAAGGGGCGATTGTTGCAGATGTGGAAAGCCAAGGCCGGGAAAACTTAAGGTGGGGAAACCTTGGGTGTTCTGGATTCTGTTATTTCCATATATGCCCTCTGCTTATTTATGTTATTAATCATTGTAACTCTTTCTTCCTAGGGTGACTAAAAGACAAAGGGATGGTTTGTATTCCATGGTTCTAGTACTTTTGGCCACCGAATTCATTACCCCCTCTGCCCTTTTCTTAGCTGCATTTTGGGGCTGTGAGATACCTAAAACAACCGAACGTGTGGTGAAACTAGTAAAACATCCACAATAAATAACTAAGAATACAAATACAAATACATGTTTGTTTGGATCTATGTGAATTCATTTGTACAAAAATCTAAAGAAGATGGCAAAGGAAACAAGTCTCAACAGCATAAATCAAAGACGAAAATATGAAGAAGCTACCTTGAAGTCGTGACTGTCATCCAACTCATGAAATATTAATTCAAAATCGTCTCTGGATATCTTTGGTAATGTCCTAAATACATTGCAAACAAAATATGCCTCAACATCCACAAGATATATGCCAGAAAATAATACTGAATGACAAATAAAAATAAAATTATTTGTCTACCAGAGCAGAACAGAATTTCTACTTGTTTAACAAGCAGAATATTTGCGTAGGTTAGCCACTTATTGAAAGTACTGCCTTCTCCATCTAGACATTCCTCCTACCCAGGAAGGAAGTTTTGATATATTACAAATTAAGAACAGCTAATGTTGTTAGTGCACCTATTATTTATTGAAATCTGTTTGAAGATGTCTCTGACAAACACAAATACAACTAATGGGGATAAAGAACCCAACCATTGTAATCACCTATCATTATGCCCCTCTTCTAGCTTTGCTCATTCTCAATGGTTTTTTTGTTTTTTATACCAAGCTGAATGAACAAGTTGTCGAATTGAAATCTTTTCATTAATCATGAATGCATGCATTTACAAACATTAGAGACTGATGCAAATATGGATAGAAATATATATGTTTATCCCTAATCAAGAAAGAAATCTACAGGTTAAGCGAAATAATTTTCAGTCATTGCAGGGGGGGCATGGAAAAGAGAATTCCACCTGTATTTGTTCAGTTCTTCGAACAGAAGAATACACTGATCCTTGTTGAGATAATTAAGATTCTGTCAATTACAAGAAGTGTGAAACAAATGAAAACATAAAATCAAAAGAATGTTTAAAAATAAAAGAAACAGTTCTAGCTAGGTTTGAAGACAAGCCTGTACAATTACAGATAAAAATAATTTGCTTAGAGAAATGGACAAGGAACAAGCAATGGATTGGCTTTCCTACGTAGTTGCCATGTGGGAAATTAAAAAATGTATTACAGAATTCCCAGATTTAATGCTTATTTTAGCTGGAGGAATACTTGTCCTTCATTTTTGCAGAACTTCATTTCAACCCATAAATTCTTCAAAAAACTAAATTCCAAATATGCTAATTCGGTATGTCTGACTTAACACATCAAAGTATAGGTTCACAAAGAGTTTAACTTGTGCTTTCAAATGGATCAAAACTTAATTATCTACTAACTGCCTCCTTGAATAACTCGGGTTGAGTTGTCCGTGCATTATCAACCACTTAACTAACTCCAATCATGAATTATCCATGTCTTAGAATTAAAGCCATCTACCCAATTTCTCTAGTAGCAAATTCTTAAATTCTAATCATTAACAAAATGGTTCTTTTCTTCAAATAAAATTTTCAAAGGTCAAGTTTTCATTTCGTCTTTGATGTCCAGATATGCTCTGTAATGATTGTTTACATATTGAAGCAAAGACGAATTGTTCTTTCCATGGATATTTAATTGATAGCGTTCCATAAAATTTATCCACCAACTTACATGATTACTTAATCAAAATTCAATTAACTATAATAACTTGGAATGGTCATAACAGTACTTGACACATGGCTTGCTAGCCCAGCTTTTCATTTGGGAGTAGAGGTCAGAAGTAATAATTATTTTCCCATTCTTTACTATTTTTTCTTTCAACAAAGAACTCATCAAAAAAAACTTTTTTCTTTCAACAAGGACAAGTGGGGCTTACAATCCCATTACATGTGTTAGGACAGCCCAGGTTAGCCAAAAATTCATATTACAACCGAATTCCATCAATCCCCTAGATGATCCTAGGAGAACCAACAGTTAAGCTTCTTGTCAAACTTTTTTTTTTTTTTTTTTTTTTCAATTTTCAAATCCACAATGCTAAAACATAGGATTATAACTGTAACTGTAACTTCATAACAAGAGTATAAAGATACCACCCCCTGACCCCCACTAAATGGTGACTCACCGTAGATTCTACATCTTAAAACCAAGCCAATTTTGGGGCCGATACATGATAATGAAACCAACCACTAGAATATCAAACCATTAACGAAGAAATGCATGGAAAAAAAAAAAACTACAGGCTAGTAATTATGAGGCCAAATCTTGACGGAAGGTGACACCAAAGGCCTCTACCCTTCCATCCCTTGGATGGATAAAGAGGGCAAAGCTTTTAGTTTTTTCATGTTGTCAAAAAGTTGAACAAGTAGATGGCGAGTGCCAAGTCAATTATATGAAGTCCTAGGTAAAAAATAGAAAGAATTTAAAAAAGAAACCTAGTTGATTAAGCTATCTCCCTTATGTGGATGGAGATGGTGAAAGTGGCCTCTGTATTTGTGTGTTTGGGCGACAGATTGGGTTGGGGTTGCAGCATACTGCAATTGAAAGTTCACGGAGGCAATGCATCCAATGGCTTTCTAATAATATGAGTGATGGATATGGGCCATAGCAGTTCTCAATGGCTGGAGTATAATCAGACATGCACAAGGTCATCATAACAGAATCACATTATCTGAAAGTTTAAGGTGTAAGAGAGAACAAGCATCTATACATCTATTATGTCTTCAACATGTTCCACAAGGTGCACAGGCCAGATTCATTTTTTTATCAAAGGCTTGATACGCATACCATTTTTATAAATGGATGGTGATGAGACTCGAACTCAGAACCTTTGCTTACGATGCTGAATTCATTTAAATTACATCTTCAACAACGAATATGCCTCTTTTTTCTTCATTTTCTGTTATATCGTTTGCAAATATGACCCGTACCAATCATAGAAATTATCCCAAAAAAATCAACTTGATTTTACACCATAGTTTCAGATCCAATAGGGGAAAGCAGAAGTGCAGGAAGGAATCCTCATGGAAAAATCAAATATCAAATTTACTAACCGATGGGAGGAATTGCAGGGGCAGATTCAGATTAGAATTGGTGCTCACTATTATAACAACACATGAAGGGTAAATAGCATGATTCTACCAATTTACAAAATTTCACATGATTATTATGCTTTGGTTTAGAAGAAAATCAATTGGTTAAGCTTTTTAAAAGTTAAACCAATCCAAACCACTTAAACTGACCAACCCAACGCAAACCGATCGGTTTGGGTTGGTTTTTAAGTCCAATTGAGTTGGGTTAGGTTGAAAAATGAAAATTGAGGTGGGGTTGGATTGAGTCTCAGGTTATGAATTAAAACCCAATTCAACCCAACCCAATGAATTAGACACAATAGTGGAGATAAGAGAAGGATTTAGAATGTACAAACGTTCCATTTTTTACATAGGTCGATTGGTATGAATATTATGTAGAAATGCAAAATAATTTGACGATAAACTAAAAATTATGGATGTGATAATAAAATGAATAATTCCCAAAAAAGTTACAAAAAAAGAAAATGCTCCATGGTTTTAAACTAATTTATAAAATTCAAAATGAATTCCTTATTTATGTTAAAAATAATGAAGATTTTCAAGTGATTTTAAACTTTAAAAATTGTTCAAATTCAACAAAAAGTAATCGAATCCAACTTGAATTGGGCCCAAGCCTAAATCAATCAACACAACCTAAACCAACCCAAATTTTATCGGTTTGGGTTGAGTTTAAACAAGTGATTAGATTTCGTTGGTTTGATTTTAAATCAAACACACCATGTCAGGTTGGGTTTGGATTTGATAAAAAATCAATCCAACCCAACTCACGCCCAACCCATACGAATGGAAAACATAAAGTATACCCAACCATCATTCACAACATGAAGATAAAAAAATATACTCACATAATTATCCATCAGGTCAAATGCTTTCTTTAGTATTCTCATCCTTGTACGATCCTTCTGATCGACTTGTTTTACGAGCTGTAACAAAAACTAGTATTAGATACGCATCAAGCTTTCAACATGAGAACAAGAAGTCACAAATTGACATCTAAATGGTGTATAGTGCTTTTTGTAAGACAACAATGAATGCTAAAAAAGAAAGACAGCAATTTAGTATAATGCCTCCAAATCTGAAGTAGGAGTTTGAAGCTCCATTCCTTCTACAATGGCAAGTGATATATTTCATCTCATATTGGGCAATTGGATAATATATGAGTTATACAGAAAAAGTGTTAGCGTAAAAATATAGTGCAAGGGATGCATCAAATACCTCACTTTTAAAGCTATCATATACAACAGCAAGAATCAAATTGGTGACAAAGTAAACGCCCAACAGCACGTAGAGAACAAAAAATAGGCAATACCACCGTGAGGCCCTATGAACCAACATATCATGGAGTTGAATAAAACAAGAGAAAATCAGTTATAAGCAAATAGTAGAACAATATGGAAATTGATAACTATAGAAGTCGTTAATAAGTTCTAAAGGTTTAGCAGTGTTGCTTGGACGTAAATTCAAATCTTCTCTTGTGTGTGCTGTATGACTACCTTAACGGTGCAAGGTAGGGGGAAGGAATGCAGCATAATAAATAGGCAATATTAGAAAGAGAGAAGAGGATGAATCTAAAAAACCAATGTTTCAAAGCTACTTACTTGTATGCAGGAATCCAGACATCTGGGTTATTGGAAGTCGTAAATAAAACAAACATTTGGTATAATGTGGTACCATATGAAGTGAATATAGTCTTTCCCTGTTGCGTATCTTCAAAAATAACAAATGCCAACCAGCTACAGAACAAGAGAAACAAAGCCCATAGAGCCTGCATTAGGTCCCCAGAAAGGCAAAAAGCACAATCAAATTTCACTCGTGAAATTGAAGAGATAGAAAGATCATAATAGTGGCAATACTTCAGTTATATGTGTAATAAATTCTTTTGAAGATAAGTACCAGAACTACTAAGTGGACGCACCAGAATATTAAGGTACGTGCCGAACATTCCAGCCAGGATGACAATGCTATCTCGTAAATCCCTAATGTCAATTTACAAAATTAAGAAGCAATTCAGTTAGTGGAAATTAGCAGTCACGTGGAGGAATTAAATGATGCTACGTGGCATATGATTGGCTTATAGTATCCTTTTTGGGCGGAATGGTATTTCCTCTTCCTGTGTGTTGGGTTAATTGAAAATCAACAAATTCCAACCTCTTCTTTCTCCAAGCAATCGCCCTCAAGTGGGCATCATAACTGACAATCAATTCTAATGAATGATATGCTTATCATGGTTTTAAGTTTTCACCTATGTATAGTCGAAAGGTGGAAATCAGTTTCATATATTGTAAATTTGGTAATTTATTCAGTCCATAACCTTGCATCCAGCTGAACATGATTCCAATAAAAACCAATGTTCACCTTGTGAAGACTGCTTCTACCAGTTGAAAAGCAGCATCAAAATTGGAAAACTCATCTACCCGAATTGACAGGCAAACTTTTCCACCAAATGATAATCCCAAACCTTAGTCCAAAAGACAACAATAGGATTTCAATGTTCAAGAGCGTGCCAGCTAGAAGATGGAACTTTGTAATCAGGAAGAGTTATTCCAAAACCAATGTATAAATCCTAATGGGACATAGCACCCCAGGGAAAGACGAAAAAATCCAGAAAGCACAAATGAGAACATAATGCAGGAGAAAAACTGTAATAGGGTATCCAACTACCCATACCATACCTGATGTTCAGGATGAAAAATACAACCCGTATATAGGGTGCAATCCTAAATGGAAGAGTATAGAATGCCACCGGGGACAGATAGATAACATAGACTAATAGATCGGCAACCAATAGTAACAACAGAAGTACCTAAAAATCAATAAAAGAACTGATTATTTACCAAGGTTCAATTTTTAAAATTTATCATTTCAATGGTACCAAAAAGACAATTCAAGTTGAAACCAAACTAGTCTGGCCAATAATTTTTCATTTCAATTCTTGATTTTAAGCCATAACAAATTCATTTCAACAGTTCACATATCCAATCATAAGCAATAAAAAATATGATATATGTTATAAGTCCTTCCACGTATTGTAGATGACCATAATGTAACAAAGGACTCCATTATAGCTTCTCTTCAGTTCTTCTTTTCATGTAATACAAGTTGATAAAGAAAAAAACAGGTACAGAACATATCTGGAAAAGTTGGAGATTAAAAATGAAAATAAACACAAAACCATCCATTCTTGTTCTCAGTTTATACCATAGGCCTCTTCATTTCAGAAACACTTATTTTTCCATCAAAATATACAGCTTCCTCTGTTCACATGTGTACATCATAGGAAAGACCCGTGATTATTGTCTAACAAGTAAACCCACTTTTTCCTCAAGATTTCTTTACTTTCTATAACTGTTTTACTTAATTCCAGTTGATTGTTAGGGAGCAAGGAATGGCTGCATAAACTGTAGATCTTTATCACTTAGTGCTTGATATGAAAATCTCTGTGTTGTTTATATCTGATGCAGTCACATAATGTTCCTCTACTTGTGAGAAAATAGAAATTATGATCTTAAAAAAAAAACAAAAAACAAAACAAAAGAAATTGAGTTCTCAAGATATTAATAGCACAAACAAAATCATTTGCTGTAACACTTAAATGGGCAAAAAATATATATAAGAAAACTAATATGCTAAACAAGATTAACATGGTACAAATTGATAAACCATGTATAAGGCAAAAGCAATAAGTTTATTTAGAAATTGGAAAATTGGTATATTCAAGTGTGTCAATGCAAAAAGATCGAAGTCAATATTCTAATTTAGGAGGCAGCATCATTCCGATTTTGGTACAAGAAACTACATAAGATTTGATTTATTTGAATGCTCACCACATTCTCTAAGAGGAGCTGAAATACTGAACAAAATATCAAAACGTGCATGCTGTTAAAAATATTTTATAAATTGAATGGGAAGCCAAACCTTAAAAATATATAGTTCTGCCTCCGAATGAGAGAATTCAGAAAAACATATAAGACATATGTGCAAAACAAGGAAGAAATATTTCACGATTAACTTTCTTTATCATGTACATGATCCTCAATAAGATAAGACCTTTTAAATGAAGCTTCTTGCAGCAAATTATGAAATCATAATTAAAATTGAATACCTTAACTTTGTTAAGAAGTTTTCTCCAGAAGAAACCAATCCCTTCATATGATAATGGAAACAGAGTATGTAAAATTAGGATCAAGAGTGTAACAACCTGCAAAAGGTTGTACGAGAAAAGTTCAATCTACAAGAAATACAAGAGTGTGGAACTCTAGTTATGTATGTATATTTTCAAAAGTAGCAAGAAGTAAGACTTAAAACATAAAGAAATGCAAGAAGTCTCAGATAAATAAACTATTCAGTAACTTCAGCTACTAGTAGAAGTGCAGGTGGAATTGCATTTTAACATTCATATATCCATTTCTATAGTGCAGTAAACTGTCTTGTTTCATAGCAAAGTGCTACACAATTCATGTGCAGAAAGAAAACACAAAGGGTAAAAGGTCGAAGTGGAGTCCCCATGGTTAAAAAAATATAAAAGTAAATATATGATTTTTTTTTTTGTTTGTTTGAAAGTATAACTTGAAAAAGCCGGTAAAACCGGTTTGTGTTCAGGTGAACCAGAACCAGTCAGATCATTGATTATGTTACGAATTTTTTTAGTTTTTATATTTTTTGTTTCTAGACCGGTTCCCCCATTTTTCCAGGTCGAACTGACAGGGGGTCCGGTTCTTGTAACACTGGATAATACAACACCAGAAAAACTGCATGCCTTGTTGACTGCCATTAAATTCAATTTTGTGTACTATGTATATTTTTCATTTTAAGGACTTATTGTTCTTTTTCTTACTCCTGCTTGATAGATAAGTTTGTACACGGCAAATGCCCATTCAGCTTTTTTTGGCTATCAAAAATTAGTTTATATTTATTCTTCACTAACCAAAAGTGTCAATCATTGACCTAAAACAACTGAGATCTGTGCAACTTTTATAGCAGGCGAGCATCCAATAATTGACTGCCAGAGTTGTTAGTACAATAGAATACACACCAATGTTTAAAAGACATTCCGAATCTGGCATGTTTTTACAGACTTCTCATTCTTTTCATTCCATCTTCTCATCAAAAGCATAAAATCTAAGGATGTGGAGTTTTGGTTCGACCGTTTCACTATCTTTGTTAATCGTTATCCACTGTAGATTTTTTCTTCTGCTAAAATGATTTTTGAACACAAGCACGTCTAATATCTATATTAGCCTCACAGATGATTGTTTTGTTATATATTTTTAAATATTTAAATCAAGATTTCTGGATCTTATGTCCGCCCCCACCCCCAAAAAGGAAAAATTAGTACAACTTATTTTTTCTTCAATCCAATTTGTTATGGTCAAAGAAAGGCAACTATAGCAATAGCCAAAATTCAGATAAATATTCATCCATGATGTTGGGTGTACTATTTCGACCTTACCTCATATACAAGACTCTCAGCACCAGTTAAGTATGGCAGCTGCCCGAGAAAGTAGTAACCTCTATTATTGCAATACCCAGAACACCATAGAGGTTTCTACGGATATAAACCAAACGTAGTTTTAAGTATCAATTCCAACAAATATTGAACTTAAAAAAAAAAAAAAGAAAAAAATTCTCTCTAAATCATAAATAATTATTTAATGTCAAACAAAAAATGAGAAAAAATAGATATACTAGGAGTTAGGAAGTACACAAACCTCAAAGAAATTTAGAATGATTAATGCAAAGTAGTTAAGAGACCAGAGAAAGTCAAATCGAATAAATATGAAGTAGGATTTCAGAGAACTTGCAAAGCTCGAGTTATCAAGAATTTCCTCAGGTATACCAACACCATCTTCAGCCTGCAAATGCAAGAGATATTTCAAATCATTATAAAGGGGGGGGG